AGAAACTTTAGGTAAGAGATTTATAAGAATTGGGCACTGATGCTTTACCACTGATGCATTGACAGTCATGTTTTTGTGTATTACCTATTTCAAAAAGACAATGTGTAAACACATTAATCTTAATAAAAGAAGATATGCTTTTCACCAGATGTAGCTACATCTAATTTCCATCAGAAATCTCTGGCCAGGTTACAAGATTAACATGCATTCAAATCTAATCACTTTACATCCATTTATACAAAATTTAAATCTACTATTTAGAACTCATATGAACCAAGACACTTTGAAATGGACCTAAAGAAGAAATCTGCTCAGGAACGGATTGTTTTATTGAAGATATTATCTCTAAAATGTTACTCTCTAAACATTTTGTTGCATTTGTTTGCCTATATAGATATGGGTCAATAAAGCATATATTGCAACACAATTTTTATTATAAAGTTTAGTTTCAGTGTTGTCAAGATTAATTTAAATTGACACAATAAATTGAAAACAATAGTGGTTATTGTGTATAAACTGCTTTTTGGGGACTTTCAAAGACCGTTTTGTAAGCACTATGAACATAAAAGGATAACAAATTAATGTGAAAATCTGGAAAAATATTTATATGATTCTGAAACAGTGTAAAAAAAAAATCCGAGGGAGAGGATAATGTTGCTTGAAAAGGACAGGAAGAAACAAAGAATCCATTCAAATGACTGGATATACAGTGTGACTTTCAGTGCATTGTGTGGTTAAGGATACTGTTGATAAGAAAATAAATACTGCCCCCTGGTGGTAAGAAGATTATGAGACAGAAGGGAAGTATTTCTTTTTGTGAAACAGCAGTAAAGTCTTTACAGATTTTCTTATCCAGTCAATTATAAATATGATTGCATCTCCTTAAAGCAAAATATGGTGTAAAAAAGTATTCCTGTTGTTAAATAATAATAATAAAAAACTGTAGTTTTGTAATAACCACTGAATGGTGAGTAGAATAGACTACTCAGTGGGTAGCAGTGCTGCCTTGCAGCAAGAAGGTTCCAGGTTCAAATCCTGACCAGGAGTCTTTCTGCATGGAGTTTGCATGTTCTCCCTGAGCATGTGTGGGTTCTTTCCAGGTACTCCGGCTTCCTTCCACAGTCCAAGAACATGACTGTTAGCTTAATTGGCTTCTCTAAATTCTCCTTGGTTGTTAGTGTGTGTGTCCTGTTTGACTCTGTGTTGCCCTGCTATGGACTGGCAACCCGCCTGCAGACAGCTGGAGATAGGCACCAGGACCCCTTGTGAGCCTGCTTGCACTGCAAAAAATCTAAATCTAGATAAGTCTTTTTTTTTTTTTTTTATAAGTGCATTTATTCTTGGACTAAGAAGGTAAAAGAGACATTTTGCCAATAGAACAAGACAATCTACACTTAAAATAAGAAAACACAATTGGATTGTCTTATTTCAAGTTCATATTATCTAATTATCTTATTTTAAGAGTAAAAATACTCATTCCATTGGCAAACTATCTCATTTACCTACTCAAATTAAGGATGAATACACTTAATTTAAGAAATTTTAACTTATTTCTAGATCGTTTTTGCAGTGTGGGATGAGTGTGATGGAGGATGGATGGATAGTAAGTTGAATGCCTCCACTTTAATCTTGTCATCACCTAAACCTCACTAAAAATTCATCAGCTGTATCCCTCAATGTACTTATTCTCTTCATCATACTCTAGATCTACTGTTAACATAAAGCAAAGAGAGTGAACATTTAACTTCTCTCCTGTCTAAACTACTTTTGAAAATAGTGGTCAGGCAAAATAGAGTTTTAACTGTAATGAAAGCAATTGAAAAGTGTACACTCACCGGCCACTTTATTAGGTACCCCATGCTGGTAACGGGTTGGACCCCCTTTTGCCTTCAGAACTGCCTCAATTCTTCGTGGCATAGATTCAACAAGGTGCTGGAAGCATTCCTCAGGGAGTTTGGTCCATATTGACATGATGGCATCACACAGTTGCCGCAGATTTGTCGG